GAGAGAGAGAGAGATGATAATATATAAAGAAGCACTGGGCTTATTTTGGCCAACCAAAGGGAAGACTAAGGGATGGCCTGTGGGAAGAGATTTGTATTTTTGCCCACTGTGTGTGTCTACAGACTCTCAGGCTAGTGATGCTCCTCACTCATGCTAAAGCCCATTTCTTCTTGCCTGTACCCACTTAAAGGCACAGCAAGGCAGTTGCAATAAATAGAAATCCTGCTTGCTCTGCTCGCCATAAACTGCTACTCTTTGGTTTTACCAAAATTGTCCCCGTGGATTGAGAGTTTTGTTATTCAATGTTTTAAGTCATCTTGTGTTGTGTGCTGATAATACTGCAGTTATTAAACTTGCAGCTAAATTTCTATGCACTTTAAAGCATTTCTATAATGTGTGTCTTCTCCCATTACACCTATGCTGATTGCAAAACTGGTCTGGTATATTTCATGCTGTCCACAGTGATTTTCCACTTCCTTTTTGTAGGAAGGAAAAATTGTTTCCCCCTTCTCCTCTCAGCTGAAATAAAGATCAGAAATTCAGCAGTTGGGATTTACTCCCAGGAGCCCACAGACCCTAGTTTTCATCTAGCTCTAACAAGCTAACATCTTTGCATCTAACAGATGCAAAGAAGTCATCTTCAAACTACATTATGCTTTTATTTTTGCCATCTCTCACCAAAATGTCTTTCATGTTTGTGGCCATAGAATCCAGTTTCACTACAAGGATCTAGAAATATTGCATGTTACAGAGCTACCAAAAAAGGGCAAGTGAGGGGTGGCAACTTTTTGTCTGATTTCAATTCCTGAAGCATTTAAAAAATGCTCTCAGAAATAGAACAAAAAATGATTTCTCTTTGATGCCACTCAAGGAACACCCCCCATGAGGCTTTTTCTAAGATACTTGCTTACCTCCTCCGTGATATCGATCTTCAGAACTGCAGTGGTACTGAAGGAAGGGGAGCCCCGGTCTTTGGCCTGCACCACCAGCGACCAGATGCAGTCCTTGTTCCTGGTGATGTTGTGGATGATGTCCAGAGAACGGATGTAGGATTTCAGCTTGATTTCCCCGGTGCTCTGGTCTATATCAAACACGTTGGCTGGATCTGCTTGCATGATGGAATAATCAACAATGTTGTTGGGTTCCTCTGCATCTTGATCTATGGCCTGGTAGAGGAAGAGTACAGAACAAAGATGTTATTGTGTTTGTAGCCAGACCAAAGACAAAATTCAAAGGTTTGAGCATTCACTTCACATAATATTTCTGCTTTGAGAGTACTGGGCTGTTGTTGTACAGTTCTGGAAACTATTTTGCCTTTCCCGTCAGCTGTGCTACATTTTCTCGTGAAAAAGGGCAGGATTAGAGCTCTTTTATAAATGTTTTCTACTGGAGATTAAAGCAGTGGAAAAAGCAAATCATGATCTATCTGTAGAATGCAAATGGCCCATTACAGGGGAGCTGCCTACACAGAATGGGGACAAATATTAAGCAAATAGAGAACAATGTGATCAGCTCCATGCTCCCCAAAGCAGAGCTGCTTAATCTTTATGCTCTGGTAGTTATTTTATCCAGCTTCTCGTGTTGTGTAATAGAGCTTGATTATATGCATCCAAATGTGTAGGGTAGAGTGGCTTGCTCCTTTGCCTATGAATTGTGTGTGTTTTTTTAACCTCTTGTTCTACAGATCACTGTAATGATCATTAAAAACCCTTCTGCAAAGATAACTTGTGAGGCTGAGCACAAGGGCATGGCAGGAAAGCCAAGTATTTAAAACTGTACTTTCAGTTGTCTATCTTGGACTTCCTCTGATGAGACTCTATAATCCAGCAGATTGTTCAAATACTGTAAGTGAACTTCCTTTGCTTATAGAACTGTATTTCTCTTCCTTCAGTTTGTCAACACCATCACTCTGTTTTAATCCATATGTTACACATGTGCAAATAAAGCTCCAGAAAAAAGCCAACTTTCAGGCCCTCCTTATGATCCTAGAGCAATAAAAGGTAGAGCTGGAGGTTCTCCAAGCACTTTGCTGTGACACATGGTGCTGTGTCTCACCTCTATCTTCACTGGTGACCCGATGATCATGGTCTTTTCCTGGATGTTCTCGTTGAACTCTGGAGAGTGGTCATTGACATCCAGGACTGTAATGAACACTTCAGCCAAGCTGTACTTCCCATCCGTGTCCTCTGCCTTCACATAGAAATTGTACTTGGAGTTCACTTCGGCATCTAACGTAGCCCAGGGCTGGGTGTAAATTATACCTGTTGATGGGTGGATTAAGAACCTGGAAAAGAAGCATGGTAAGATTTGAGATTTTTTTT